GCAGCGGTACGCCGAGCCGCCTCAAGGTGCTGGATGCCTACCTTCTCTACGTGCTGCTCACTGGGGCGCTCCAGTTCGGCTACTGCCTCGGCGTCGGCACCTTCCCCTTCAACTCCTTCCTCAGCGGTTTCATCTCCGCCGTCGGCAGCTTCATCCTTGGCGGTCAGTGCTCCGCCACCGCGCGGTTTTCCCTGGAATCCTCTTCGCAACGGTGCACTCTGTAGCAGAGCCTGAGCCCCCTCCACCTCCAACGACCGCGGAACCCCCAACAACGCCCAGAGACCCCCGAGCATCAGAGAGTTGCCTTAGAAATGCCCAGATCTCGTAGTAACCTCCGGATTCCCTTAGCAGTCATAGGCATTCCCCAGCAGCTCAAGGGAGTCACCTGCAGCAGCTCTCAAACCTACCCTGGCAGCCAGGGAGTCCTATAGCAACCTCCAACACCCAGTTCTGCTCCTGCCCCAGCTATCCCAGCCTGCCCCACAGCAGGATGCTCCACAGCAGCTGTGAACCTGTGAGGGTCCTACTCATACGCACCACAGAGCCCAGCTCCTTATTAGTCCCAGGGTGTCATTGCATTTCCCTGACAGCCAAGGAGTCCTCTCTGTTACTGTCTTGTATTGATGTCATTTAGCAACTGTCCCATGGTGAAACCCAAACTCTAGCAATGACAGCTTCAGGGGGTTGCTCTCCCATAATACCCCACAAAACCACCTTATTCCTGTGCAGCATTCCGCAGTACACCCTGTGGAGAACATTGAAATATCCCCTTTTGTATGCGAGTCCCATCCTGTTATAAGCCTGTTCCCCTCAGGACTCAGTTGGCCACTCCTGATAGTGTAGTGTTACGGGAGAGCTGATTGCATAAAAGCCCTGTGCAAATCCCCTGCCAGTGTCTTGCTCATAATAAAGACGGAGTTACCTTTTCTTGTGCTACCCTGGTAGAACAATGACCCAGACTGAGGTGGACTGCCCCAGGAAGACTCTGCTTCCCACCATGACTTCCTTTTGTGATTGCTAATCTCTCATTCTTTCTCTGCCATGCAGTTTGCCTCCGGATCCAGATCAACCCCCAGAACAAAAGCGAGTTCCAAGGCATTTCACCAGAGCGGGCATTTGCCGATTTCCTTTTTGCCAACACCATCCTCCATCTTGTCGTCATCAATTTTGTTGGCTGAGCTCTAAAAGAGACTGAGCTCTAGTGAGGTACTGATCCATGGGATCAGAAAAGGGACAACTACAGCTCACACGACTTTAGTGCTTTTGTAGAGTTGGGAGACAACTAGAAAGACAGTGAATCCAGGAGTCCTAGCTCCCAGTTTCGTCTTGGCCAAGTACAGTTAAGCTGTTGTCCTCTAGGTTAATACAGGGTTAGGATTTACGGCTTTCTGGTTTTGTGTATGTATTTTTTGGCTTTTATAATTTAACAGGTAGTTTAACTAGGAGTATTAGAGAAACCTACCCATGTTTCTCTCTCATGAGAGAAATACCCCATTCTTCTTTGCAAGAGAGGCTTTGAGAGCTGGAACTCCTCAGCTCTGTTTGTGAGGGTTGTCCTATTTGGAGACCATGATATTGCTAGTGTCCAAGTCTGGCGTTTCTCAGCAGATGAGAGGAGGGAGTTTGGGACAGGGAGAGTTTGGTGCTGGAAAGTGGAGGACATGCCCTGTTATTACTGTTGCAAGGGGCCACAAGATCATTGGAGCTTCTGGTGTATTTCCTCTCCCTTTGAAGAAACATTGCTTATGTTGCCTTTCTCTCTTTGCAGGTCATTAATCGCTCTTGAGCTTTGATGCCAAAGCCTGGCATTGGGAAGTGCTGTTCCCCAGCAGACTCTTGCCTACTTCCTTGAAGGAGGAAGATGACACAGGGCTCAAGATTTTTCCCCACAGACTGTCCTATGGAGGGGTCTGCTGCCTCATTACAGTTTCTGTAATCCTTTCTGTCAATAAAACCCTTTATAATACTGCCGTCTTTTCTCTGTTGATGACAAATAGAGAGGTTCTTCTGATACCCAAGTTCCCTCTCCGGCACGTCTACCTGTTTTTATCTCCTCCCTCCCTCCCTCCCTCCCTTTCCACAAAGCAGGCTTTTTTTCTGTGCCCTAGTTTCAGAGGGAAGCAGGAAACAAGTCGTCATGGAAACTCAGTTGCCATCCGCTCTTTTCATCTCCCTGTTTCCTGCCTCTTTATCTTATGGAGAATATGTTGCCAATGTGCCCCCAGGCTTCAAAGCTGTGGAAAAATTGGGTTAGGCTGTCGTTAGCAGTCATGAATGGAAGGAAACGGAGGGTGTACTCCAGCACATCCCCAGGTGTACCTGTCTTCCCACAGGCCCTCCTGTGTTCCACAAAGGCATGTGGGGCACAGCTGGATGTTCCAGCTGGACTTCCAGGCTCACTAAGGCCTGGCAGTGATACAGCCACCCTACAAGAGTGTTAGCTTTTCTTCAGACTGATGTGCTGATAAACCCACGGATGTTGTAAGGAGCTGCCAAGCTGTGTCAGTGGCTCAGGGAGAGCTGCGCTTGAGCTATTCTGGGTCCATGGAGAAGCTCACCCCTCAGACTTAACCTCATTGAAAATCCTTCCCCCTCTAAAACATTGTGAAATGCTTAAACTCAATGGCTTTGGCCCTTGGCCATTGCCTCTTCAAGCCCAAGCTACTTCCTGCATTGAGGTCAAATGCTTCTTTGTCCTGATGGAAAATCAGAGCCCTGTGACGATCAGATTATGGGCACAGGATGAGATACTAACCCCAGCTAGCCTACCACACCTTTGACTGCAGAATTTACCTGGGTTACCTTCAGGCGTGAGGCTCCATCCTCGTGCTGATCCTGATTCACAGTTGTCTGGTTTGCTCTGCAGCTGAAACACTGGATAGGTAAAATATGTGTTGGGGCTACGTGACAAAGAAATGCTTGTCTGCTGGCATGCAGGAGTTAAAACATGGGGTCTGATAACTTCCACCTCTCAGCATTGGATTATGGCTCCTGTTTACCACCTTTTTCCTTTTAGCATTTCGAGCTGTGCTGTAGTCATTTAACTCATTAAAGTGTGAAGCCTAGGGCTCCTAAGTCTCTTGCCTAACAGGCTTTGAAGAGTGAGATACAAGGGAGCAGAGTCTTCACTGTCTCAAAGGATGCTGTCTGGGTCTATGGTAGGAACAGAGTATTTGTGGCAGTCCTGATACCCCACCTCCCTCCAGCCTCAGGTATTAAGCTGGGTTTATTTACAACGGTACCAACTTTGTACTGCTGGGGAGCAGGCAGGGACTGTAAATGAGCCACCGAGCTCTTCTTTCCCATAACAAGGGTGCTCTCTGAGCCCGGCCTGTGGCAGACAGAGCCATCGTGTTCACAAGAGCAGGAATAGCTCAGGGTCTGCCCTTTGCCACTGCAGCTGCTGCTGTTTGCAAGCTGCGAGTGCCTCCCCGTGGGTCTGTGTCATTCAGCCTCTGCCCGGTTCGGCCTTAGAGCGAGCTCCAGCTGGGACCCTCCTGTGGCCCCTTCTAAGAACTGCGCGGGAGCCTGTGGCAAAGGAAAACACGTGGGGTTTCTGTGGGGTTTCTTTTTTTTTTTTTTTCCTGATTTTTAGCAGCGTCCAATGCCTCTAGTTGCCATAAACTCAGCATTCGAATTCAGATTCTATTATTACTCCCGCATCTGAATAAGCTTCAACAAGTCTGTAGATATCTTCAAGCTCTGCCCCTTATAAAGACCATGCTTGGGTCCCTGTTCACACTGTAGAAGAGGACAAGAATAGAGGCCGTTTCATGTACAAGGCCATGTTTAATGAGAGATGGCAAACCTCTGGCAGGGTGTTTTCTCCAACAAAACCCCTAGAAAAGGTGCAAATTCATCTCCTACCCATAGGTAGGTATAAGAGGCCAGAGCTGGCATAAGGGAGAGGACGCTAGAGAAGGACCATGGCAACATCTCCTTCCCTGCCAATGTGAGAGGACTATCTGGCCTGCCTCATATTCCTCCCTTCTCTTTTGAGTCAGAAGAAGTGGAATGATTTTTCTGCATGGGTTCTCTGCCTATATAACAAGGTGCAGAGGCCTGTCAGCAAATTCAGAAATCTTACATGCTTCTAAGACTTCACCCCACCACCCACCACACCTCATAATGTATTTTCTCCCCTCCTTTCCCCTGCCTACGTTATACATAGCTCAATCTTTCCTGCTGTACCCAAAACATCTCCCCCAGACCCAAGAGCAGGCTGCGGTGAGGGGGCAGGAAGGGAGGGTGCCTTAACCTCATTCGACTTTGGCTTGTGGTCTAACGTCTGCTGTTCTTTTCCACACACTTCTCCTCCTCCCTGCCACATGCCACACTAGCCCTGCTCCCCCCACCCCCTGTTTTGCACTCCACTTTCCAGAGGAAGCGGTTTTTGTGGTAGGGTGTAGAGGAGCATCAAAAGGTGACCCAGATCTCGACTGTGGCGTCATGGAACTGGTGGTGCGTCCTCTTCCTGCACCACCTGGGTTATGAGACCGCTTCCACGTCCTGTCCTACTGTGTTATTTCCTGCTTTTGCTTTGCACTGCGGTTTTTCTTTCTCGAAATAAACAAGAAAGCACAAAGTGTGTGGGGGGGGGAGGGGGGGGGCACATTGTGCTGGTGGGAGATTGAAAGCCTAATATCTGAAAGTATCTTTGAACTAGACTACAAATTCAGTGTTTTTCAGATCACATGCTAAGAGTCACTTTAGTCAAAACATTTAACTTTATCTATACACTCAGCAAATCTTATCACTGGGGTCATTTAACCTGGAAGAGTAAAGACTGAACAGTGGAAACAGAGGCAGCGCCCTGTCCTTCCTCCTTGACCATACAGCTAGGAGTGGGTTTGAAATGCAACACAAAAAATTTAAGATTGATATTAATTTTAAAAAGTGATGCTAAAGGTAAATGAGCATGGAAACTTTTCTTCCACATGCCTGAAGGTTTCTGGAATGAGGTTAATCAGTTGGAAATCTGTGAAATGCAATGACTTGCTTTGTAATTCAAATATGGTTTACACAGCTTCATTAAGCTGTTTCCCTATGATATGGCAGACTTCATCATGAGCAAAATGTAAGCTTCAAGAGCTGCCTGGAATCTAGGAGAGTGACTGTTGTGTCAAGGGAGAGACAAGAGAATGAGCCCCTGAACATCTGTACTATAAAATAATCAGGGTAATAGACCTGGAAAGTTTGAAGTTTTTCTTTGGCAGGAGGGGTCAGTAACTCTCTGTCACCCTGTGACAGGCCATCTGCGAAACGGTCAGGTGGCAGCACCATGTCAGGAGACCAGGGAGACTTTGTTGTGTTGCAGCTCAGCACTGTGGCATCAGATCCTGTGGCAGGGATGCTGGCATGGTCTTCACACGGGGACCTTCTTCCCTGCCACTCAGTTTGGGCACTGGTGTGAGATACAAGCAAGGTTCAAGCTTTGCAGGGAGAGTGTGTTTCTTTCAGAGCACCCTTCTAATTTCTCCCTCCAGAGGAATCTCCAGTGCTTCAGAAGAAGATGGAGAAATTGACATCACAAAATGAGAAAATTTCCTTTACAGTCTTACCAATGACAGACTGAACCTAGAGACACAGCCTGGTCAGTTGCTGTCATTAATGCAAAGCAGATGCCTTGTTCTCCAGTGACGATTGGGAGTGGAGGACGTGTAGAGGCAAGACACTTCAGGCTCCTGTGTTCCCCATAGCAGTAGACATCTGCCTTCGAGAACCTGGACTGCTTACTAGTCCTCTCACTGTGGGCAAGCCATGTTTTACTGTTGTCTTCACACAGCACAGAGTCTACTCTTGGAGGAGAGGTGCTCTCCTCCGTTCCCCTCCCTCTGAGCCAACCATGCTGTCCTCAGTCAGACGCAACAAGGATGTCCTGGATAGAGAATTTGCAGCTATTCCACCCAGCCACCCACCCTGTGGTGGATCCAGCCAGTTATTGTAAGCAATACCCGGTGGCCAAGTGAGGCTGAAGAGAAGAGTCTGGACACTCCTTCCCTCCTTCCCCCAAAGACCAGGCTTATTCCTAAAGTTCATCTGAAGGGTAAAACAAGTTCCTTAAACTACAGATACAAAAGACAAACAAGTTTCCTATTTTTTATAAGAATTGTTTAATAGCAGCGAAAGGCCTACAGAAATGCCAAGACATCAGTGTGGTTGCCAGTACTATTCCAGA